AAATATTTTGTTTTGAGGTTTCGTACCGTCTAACAAACCCTTTGAATTTCGAAATTTCACTACAAAACCATTAAAAGTTTCGAAAAAATACACGAAACCTTAATGGTTTAGTATGAAGCCTTTTTTTAGAGAGTAGGATGCTTGAATGGTTCTAATAACGAAGCGATCTTAGCGATCCACGGGTATACATTGTGTGGAAATTCAAGCGTGAATGCTCAATGTTTCACGTAGAGAAATTTATACTGACAAATTGATGAAAAACGGATCACGTTAGACGGGCGGGTGTTCATCATTTGCAACACAAAAAATGAAGATATAGTTTTATCATAACTGAGTTAGCCTTAGGAGGTGAGCAGCAGCTAGACTTTAGTGGCATCTGTGTTGAAATAAGTGGGAATATTATTATTAGTGTTATCGTACTATTAAAGATGGACAAAAGAACACTAAGAGCAAATAACATGTCAACATGCAATAGGCAGTTAAAAATACTAACGAAAACATAAAAACTGCCTATGATAAAATGCAGGAAAATAAACTCGCAACCTTTCGCGATACTACTTGTCTTGTTACAGAATCGCAACGAGTGATCCGAATTAGCTCGAGTCTTTACCAGAATATCTCCACTCACAATAAAATGGGTATAAGTCTCGTCCCAAGCGCCTGATTGTGTGAATATAAATTGTTATAAAACAAGAACATAGGTTAGAACGCACTTTTCCGTATGGTTTTTCGGACAACCATATTTTCATTTCGTCATATTAAAAATTTTTTTTCGTGAACCACTACCTAGACTCCAATACTCTCGATGTACGTCTCCAAAATGTAGTCTCTAGGATTTAAAATTTAGCATTTTTAGACCAACAAAGTGAAGTCTCTCTCCATATGAAGAAAAGATGCTGGAAGGCTAAATCGACAAACAGCTGATGTTTGGGTGTCAAATATTGTTACGTCACGATATCGTTCCATAATATATGATAATATTAGTACATTCCTATTATGTTCCTTCGTGTTTCATTTACGTTGTTTTTTTGACATGAAGTATACAAATAGCTGAGTATATATACACACGTATATTCCATTCAAAGATGTTTTCAATATCGTTAGAACCACTGTGGGGATTTTAGCCATTATCAGAATAAACCGTATAAATAATATTTATTTATTATAAGTGTATAATAAATAAATATATACAGAACGAAAAAATAGGAATCCCACAAAATCTTACCGTAGATTTTGTAAGAAATGCATAAGATTCCTATTTAGAAAAATCCTATAGGATTTTTGCTAGCGTCCTGTATCAAGAATCCTATGGAATTTCTGCTGTAGGATTTTAAAGAATCCTACAATAGGAACCGCATGAAATCCTATTATCAGTAGGATTCTGTAGGATCTTGTAGGAACCTAGTAGGATTGTTTGTCCTGAGTAGTGCTTCGACAAAAATGTGACTAACGTTATTACTTCGATGCGGGATTGATCTGTTCTGCTATTGAACTTCCCGTTTTCTTACCGCAAGTTTAATGATGTCATTCAAATAATCAATTAATTACCGTTTAGCTTAATCAAAACAACTTCGATAACCCACCTTACCGACCTTGTAACTTAAATGAAGTATGTTTAGACATGTATGACTTCAGACTTAATTTTCGATGAAGAAAGGACAACTGCTGCTGTTCAGTAAGAATATTTTCTCGGACGAAGTGAAACTATTTCTTCTTTTCATTACATTTGTGACGTTCATCATACTCTAATCTTGGTCAGTCGATAGCAAAGGAAAACTTTTATCGACGGTTATAATATTCACTGTTATAGAAGAGTGTGCTACTTATTATAAGCACAGAAAAAAGATGGATATAACCTATTACGTAATCCAACCATTGATAACAACAATAAAAACTGGCAATATAGTACATGATTGTCTGTTAATAGTGCTGGCTCTATTTTGCTTAGCGTTTATTGGTAAATTGTCCGCTATATTTATTGATTATTTAATTGATTATTATTTACCAAATGTATGTCAATTTCGTCGCATTAAATCTCGTTACCAACTAGATGTCATTGTTAACACAAAAGATTATGGTTCAGCTAAATATTGTATACCTGATGAATATCTATCAATATTGCATCATTTATGCAGAACAAATATCAATGTTAAATCTGGTATAAGAATACCAAATTTAACTTACGTACAAACAACCACTTATAGTTATTCATCAACAAGATCACCTACAGCAATGTTTAATGAACTGGATGATATGATGAATTATTTTATAACGGGAACAGAAGACATCTGTTTTGATCAATATTTATATTTAAAAATGGTGCCAACTATTTCACCAACAGATAATCTGTTGGTGAAATAGTTGGTACCATTTCTAGATTACCATTGTTAAGCAGAAACTATTTATCAGTAATCGGTCTGATATTGGCCGTGTACTATACGAACAATTGTCAAAACATCGCGATTTTTTTGTGCCCGTTTTGGTACCATTTTTAGATTTATACGAATAAATTGTTAATTCGTATAAATATACATTTATTGAATTTAAAACAATAATCGGTCAATGGCATTCGGAATATAAAGCATATATGAAAAGAAAACATTTTGGAAACTTATATCATTTTACATTTCTCAGTCCACCACTACAGCCACCAAGTGAGAATGATAATAAAAAATATCATCCAGTTGCATCAGCAGCTGAAGTTACATCTTCATTATCTTCAATATACTTTCACAAACATTTATTTCAAACAAATAAATCTTCTGATAATCTCCTTTTTAATAGAAAACAAAAATTAATGAAACAATTACAGTTGTTTTTTTTCTAAATTATTCACACTTAGGAGGCTGAATTATGTGACCGTAACAGTTAACTCTAATTAAAACCATTTTCCTTATCCGAAAGTGGGGGAAATGCTTAGATGATTGAACAAGAAAAAGAACGATTAGACTAAGGAAATTTTTCTGTTTTAATACTGTGCTTTATAATAAAAGAAATTTTCAACGGTTTTTGAATCAGTAAATTTCGCAGCAGTTACGGATTTTAGTAAATGAATTTTTACGGTACACGCTTTACAGATGTAATTATAATGAAAATGGAAACGATGAATCGAATCGCCAATTAGCATTAGCTGGAAAAATTTTGCTCGAACAAAGGAATTTATCAATGATGCC